TTCGTTAATCTTATCAATGATTGTATCATCAATATCAGTAATCATTGTCGATAGTACCATCAGTATTTATCCGATGTTTATCTTCTCATCGATGGTGTTCACTATTTTATTGTCAATTGGAAGGTTTTATTTCATATTTAAATGGTTGTGTTCATATGTTTATGTTGATGATGATATCAGTTATCCGTTATGCTACAGTTTTTCAAACAAATATACAAAATCAATTTATTGGCCAACATTCATATTGCATGGTGATACTTTGTTGGTTACTTGGTCTTATATTTGCATTGCCACCATTATTTAATTGGAATAAATATACATCTGAAGAGATTGGTTTTCATTGTGGATTAGATTGGTTTGATCGATCACTTAGTTCACGTATTTATTTTATTTTTGCTTTTGGATTCATTTATTTTATTCCATTAGTTGTGTTATCAATTATAAATATATATGTTTATTGTAAAATTCGATCTTTACTTTATGGTGCAACAAGAGTATTACAACACAACTTTATATTAAATATCTCTTATCAGAAATATCAATCAACTTCATGTAGTTCATCGTTAAGTAATAGCTCAACAACAAAATGTGACAAACGTGGTTTTGTGGTAGCACCAACTTCAATCAATGTAACTTCTCCATTAGCTGTTCGTCAAATGCGTATCTTGCAAATGAATAATATTATGCGATTAAAGCGTTTGAAAGCTGATCAATGTTTTACTTTGGCAACAATATTCTTAGTTAGTGAATATTTACTTAGTTGGACACGATACGCTGTTGTGGTGTTATTTTGTTTATTTGATGTAAATCATATTAGTCAACAATCAGTATTACTGACAATATGTGCATTCATAGCAAAAACTTCAATGATTTTAAATCCACTTATTTATATAGCAACAATAAAAACTAATCAACTCAAATCGATGCTATAGTGTAGTAAATGTTCATGTTGTAATTGTCGAATTAAAAGAAATATATTAATGTCATAACTTTTTTTTCTTTGACTAAATAAAAAAACATTCAATGTACGTAATACCTTACAAACGATATGATGATATCTAATTGTTTTCAAACGACAGAAACACAGGAAATTCGAAGACACTCACCAGAACTAGTTTTTTTTTAAATGAAAGTTTAGCTTTAAATGAGTGAAGTATAGTAGATAATTAGTTATTCGTATAAATAAACGTTTGTCTTTCATAGGAAAAATAAGTCATGTCGTCCAATCACATACTTATTTTCTTTGTGGACATTTTCTGAATATGTAATTAAAACTAAAGTGGAATGTTTGCAACTCATTTTGAACATGAAAAAATACTTCGTACGATTTCATCTTTTCTAAGGATAATCTGTGAGCACATTGTAATTAAAAGGTATGTCACATAGAGCTCTAACACAAAAACATTGTTTTCCGACGATTCAACCCAACTTAACATGCGATGCTAAAGTCTTTGCAAAAATGTTCGACTCTATTAGACCATATTGCCAACTTCTAAACCAATCAAATTTTTTTTTGTTGGAAAGAGCAATGTCTGAACTACAAATTTTGTACCAGACATATTTTTCCAAAATGAATCTCAGAAGGAGGAAAAGGCAAAAACCAAATACCTCCAAAAAAGTTCTTGCAACTTCGGTATCGCGCAATATCATTTTTTCTTTTTTGTTATTTTTTTTATATCAGAAGAGAAACGGAAAAATACGTTTAATGATGATTTTTGTAGCAAAAAGAGTGCTCTTTCCAATGGTATATTGGAAGCTAAATTTACTCTTAGATTTTATACCAAAATATAGGTTTTTCTGAAAGAAGCTGCGCAGTTTGGTCGTTCCAGCTACCTGACCGTTTTCCATCAATAAAAAATACTTTTTGAATTGTTTTTTTCTGCTTAGTTTTTATAATTTGACGTATTTCGAACAAATAACGCACAAAGAATTGAGTTCATGCATGATTGTTAGGAGTTGTGGCTGATGTGCTTCCAAAGCGATAGTTCTTGCAAAAGACTCCCTTTTACAAAAATTTCAATTTTCAAATGTTTTTGATTAAAGAGTCGAGAATTGATCTAAAAAATTTTTACCAAAGCTGATATAAATAGTCCTTTTGATGCGGTATAATATGGCGTATTTTTTGTTAGAATCCGGTCTATGTAGCTCAAAATAATTGAGAAATAAAAACTGTTCAACTTGTAAAAACGTTGCAAAAGCTTTTTTTAGAGGTATTTGGTTTTTGACTTTCTCTCCTTCTGAGATTCATTTTGGAAAAATATGTCTGGTACAAAATTTGTAGTTCAGACATTGCTCTTTCCAACAAAAAAAAATTTGATTGGTTTAGAAGTTGGCAATATGGTCTAATAGAGTCGAACATTTTTGCAAAGACTTTTGCATCGCATGTTAGTCAGATTTATCGTATAATTCTATATGCATTTTGAATGTTCACACTAAAATCAATTTCTATTACATGTTAATTTCTGTTGCAGCAAAGCGTTTATTATTGATTTTATTTGCTATGTAAGAAGAAACTTGAATGATGGTATAACTGATATATAATTTATTTTTAAGGTCATTTTATTTGGAAGTTTTGCTCTATTCATGAGAGTTTTAAGATGAGAGAGAATGGAATAGAGTCAAATAGATAAAGATATAATGAAATAGGCATTTTTTGAACCTAACGCATGTATCTTTGCTAGTTTTCAATTTTCTAAAATTATTTTCGCCACAAACCATGTAAAAGGATTTGCCCTTTATCTATCTATACAAGTAATTTTTCAAAATCTATTGTTATAACATAGTGATGATAAATTTCTAGAGATATCCAAAAATAATTATTCATTTCTTCACTTAGCATGAGTACATAATGCAGCTATTATTTATTTCTCAAACAAAAGAAAGAAAAAACTCTACTATTGTTGAGTTGGGTATATAAACTATTGTCCAGGGTGAAATTGACTCGAAGCATCATTGTGATTTCATATAAAGAACTTGGTTAAAAACTATCAAACTTTCGCTTCTCTAAAAGAATTATACAATGAAAGTACTTTAATAGTGTATAACTAGCTTAATGCCAGTTTATCTAGATCGTTTACCTCTAGTGGACAAAACTTGCTCTTTTGAACAAAAAAACAGTCAACTAAATTGAGCTAATTTTCAACGCTCAAACGATATTTTTCAACAAAAGTCAATTATGTCCAAAATAGATTCATTATCTGTTACACTCATCTTAACTGAAACAAATATATACACTGTGTATATCTTCATTATCGAGGCACATACGATACTTTGAAAAACTCATTTTTGTCTAATTGTTATATTGTTGTTTGAATTAATTTAAAATAACTATTGATTTCCTAAGTATTAATATATATATATGTCCCTATTAACTAGTGATGATACATTTTTAAACAAAATATACATGTTTTAGTTAAAAGAAGTCTAATGGATAATAAGTCTATTTTAAATATAATTGACCTTTGTTGAAAAATATTGTTTAAACTGTTTACATCAACTAAATTTGGTTGTGCATCTTTTCTTCAAGAAAGCTTAGAAGTTGCTGGCATTTTAACCACTTTTATTCACAAAAAGTGCTTGATTCTGATAAACTGATAGTAACTTAATTATATGCTGTTAAAATAGTTTCCCCAGTAGATTTAGCTGAGGTTACAAGTTTCCCTCAATAAACGGACAAGAAACTAATGTTTCAAAGTACTTTGCTTATCTTTGGCTTCTTCTTGATCAATATTACAAACATTTCATTCGAATAAAGCTACTTGTTTTTTTATTTTTCTGAATGAGAAATTATTTATGAGTCTTCTGCTCAGGTTTCGACATTTTTGCTTGCGACAAAAATTGAGAGAATCGTGGGTTTTGGAAACATAAAGAGTTCCATATCTGTACTCGGTAATCACATCGAAACCCTCATTGATATTTTTAATGATTAACTTTAACAGGTGATTCCAGGTATTCTGATTGGTCCAGTTGTTGTACGAGGTATAAGTGCTTCTAGTTCTACAACAGATTAATAGGAAGTGATGCTTTCGCTAGCTACACTAATGAACTTCTCTATCGTCAAGTTTTGATTGATATCGATGAATAGTTGTTATTGAACTGAAGATTTCGAAAACAATTGCTTGTGAAAAATGGCTAGATTGAATTCAAATGGCATCAAGATTATCAAGTGAAACTAAGAAGTCAGCTCATTGAAGACTTTCACAGACAATTGGAGTTAATGCATCCGAAATCTTGGAGAAAATTGTAATAAAATAACAAGCATCTTCACGCCAGTTTTCTGATCGTCGATGGCACTGACAGTGTCGACCGAAACACTAACTACACTAAGGGCATTGGTGTGGGAGTGAGCGGGGTGTCCCTGAAGAGAAGACCTATACTCACACATCTGTACCTTTTTTCTTCTTCTTGTCAAAAGCATCTGCTGTGGCTTTTACGTTTTTTTTATTTTGAACTGATTGTAACATTAGTACTGTTGTCATTATATTTTCATGATTATTTTCATCTTCATTTTATAGCTCGCCATCGATTGATCACAAAAAAGTTGTTTAAATTCTCGAATTTGAAATTTTTTTGGCTAAATAAAGCGTGTAAAATAAGTAGATAAACAGAGTTAACTATCAGTTGAAAATAGAATAGTGTTTTTACTTCTCGAATAGAAATTGAGAGTGGAGTTGTTCTTCTATTGAAAAACTTTTGACGTTGTTACTCTGAGATAGTAAATCAATCAATAAGAATGATGGCAAATTAAACACGTCAGTGGTGACGATTTATTCAATAAGAGCAGGTTTCTTCTGTAGCAAATTCGAAATATGAAAGAAAAAAGCTTTTATATCCAAAAGGAGAAAAAGTGGAGCAGGTGTCAACCATGATCAAAAAGGCAAATAATCCTTTTTTTCAGTCTATTTTTATTCTATATACATTTGCTGTCACACGATCCATTACAATAAGCATTTATTTTTTCTCTTCATTACTCAAAATGTCTTTAGGGTTTTTCTAACTTTCTATGAAACTAGATGTAATCGTATTTGTACTACTTTTTTATATCGTGCATAAGCCTTCCAAAATTCTTGTTTGTATACTTGAGATGGAAGAACAAACACCACGAAAGTAAGCACAGATGGCATGAATGAGATAAAATATCCAATCAAAAATAACCATGGATCATTAATTGACTTCATACAACGTGAAATAAGAGAAATGATCAAACGTGGAATAGCTAAAATGACCAAAAGAATTGGAGTGATCAGTAGATGACTGTGTTCTTGAAATTGTTTTTGTAACATTTTTCGAAAACTTTCATTAGCTCGTACAGCTGTTCGCCGTCGAGTAGTCATTATAATAATGACTAAACCCGAAATCAAATTAATAATAAATGGGGTTAAAAAATGAAATATATTTAGCACTGTATTAAACGTTTGAAGATTGGATGAATAAGTAACAATACACCAAATTCTTTTCTCGTCATCATCATTATCATCATCTATCAAACGTCGATGAATAGGATCATGAATAGTTGTACTAATATTCAAAATTAGAAGAATAAGAATAATATATTTAGCCATTTGTTTACTCTTCTTTCTATCAAAACTGATTCCTTTTATTGCGGTAACTGTTCGCTCTACAGCTACACATGCAGACAACCATTGATCCATATTAAAACCGATCCGTAGCACAAAATCTATTGAAGTACATTGTAATCGTAGGAATAAACGATTCGTAATGTATGTCATTTGTGCAATGATAAGTATGGAAAATTTCAATGCAAACATAAGCATTGTAAATAGACTAGTGATCGATGTACTTATTAGATAAATACCACAACCAATTTTACATGGTTCTTTATTATTAATTGCAATCATCAATAGAGTACTATTGATCAATCCTGCTACAGTCATAATGATCGTCAATACTATACTTAATTGTACAACAAGGGTTTGATGTCTGATGATAATATGTGGTTGAATATGATAACCTAAAATTGCATCAAGCGAAAGACCAAATCCATGTGAACTAAATTGGCAACGTCTTCCATAAAAACATGTTTGACAAACACATGTCGATGTTTGTGGACATGTAGATCTATCTTGTAAACATTGTGCTCCATTTTCACAATTACTTTGACCAAAACAATCGAATTTCTTTGTATAATTAAATTCAAAACAGTTGGCTACACGGTGTTGCCCATAATCGTCACATAAACAAAAATAATTGTCATCATAAAAACAAGATACTGGTGGTAAATGTCTTTCACATGGTAAATGGTAATATTTAATACGACGAAGAAGATGAAATTTAACAGCTGCATGATCCAATACTTCATTTATATATGGACAACGATCTGATGATTGAATTTCTCGAACAATGGTTGTTGATGGATGGTAGCTCTTTTGAACAGTGATTAAATAGTAGTTTTTATCGAAAAGTTGAATAAAAACAATGTGAAATGGGTATGACCAATGGATCACCAATTCTTTTTGATTTATAGGAATCATTTTGAAAGTACTACCATGTGTAGGTGGAGCACCGTCTATCACTTGAATGAAATGAACCAGTAACGAGGATGGTAAAATCATGTCTTGACGAAATGATATAATGATTTTAGTATCAGCTATTTCACATCTGTCTCCAGTGAAACCTATTTGACAGATACATTTAAATTTCTTGTTAGATATTATATGCTCATTAGTAGGCATACATTGACCACCATTGTAACATGTAGTATTTTGATTAGAGTGACATATTGTACTTCGAAATAAACATCGAGAACCCCACTTATTCATAGGACAAACACATAAAGATCGGTTGTTCGCTAAGATACCAATACATAATGAGTCAGGGGAACATGTGCAGTGATGAGAGATGGTACAGTATCGTCCAGACCATCCTCGATAACATTGACAAAAAGTAATACCTTTCGGATTGTCTGAATATTTAATACATTGACCATGAACACATTGTTGACTTGAACAACTTTCCACATCATCAGTTGTGCGTGGAATGTTGAGTTGAACAGCAACACGATGTACAGGTAAAAAAGGAAACTCAAGTGTTAATAAAAAACTTCTTCGATATGCGAGTGATATTTTTTCATAGATATCAATATGTATTGAATAATGTTTTTTTGGATCTTTTGGCCTAGTTGAATATAGTAAATACATATTGAATTTAATTGTACAATCTCGTATGTACAAATAACTAAATTGTTGGTGCGCATGAATGATTCTTTCATTACTATCATCAATGAGTAAGACAACAGCAGCAAATAGAGTTCGTCGAGAATCAGAATATGTTTGAAATTGCAAAGTGAGACTAATTCGTTGGTTTTGATATTGACACATATTTCCATAAAAACTGGATGGACAAAGACAGGCGTCAGTCGTTAAGTTTTTTTCATAATCTAGCCAAACTGTAACAACAAGACCACGATGACAACGTTGTTGGTGTTGCAGAGCGATTTGTCGAGTAATAGATGAATGTGAACTTATTACTTTTGTGTTTTGTTTCGTTATTTGTTCGATTGAGTTGTTAATTCTATCCAATGTAAAATATCTGATGGGTGATTTACTGATATCGATTGGACGTTTACAAAAAAAATTTGCAATCTCAGAACGAACAGTTGCATATTCGTCATTACACATACCATAGTAGCCAATATTGTTCAGATTATTGTCACAAATTTTATCATAGTCTGTGTCATTGCATTTTCTATCGAAACATAAAGACATATAAGACGTACAATATTCATGTTTCCCATCAGTGCAGTGAATGTTAACATTGCTGAGTTCATGATTATCGGATCGACATAGTTGTGGCTCATCAGTGGCGCCAAGGCAATTAATATTGCCATCATTGACTTGTGTGAGAGACAAACACATGAATTGGTATGTGTTAGGTGAGACACAAATATGATGATGAAGCGGACATTTCAATATTGGTGATTGGTCACAATCTACTTCATCTGCTCCATTGAAACAATTCCAAAATCCATCACATCGAGTATAAGTGTTATTACATTGCCAGTATTCACATTCGGTTTCATCGGTTTCATTTCGTCCATCGATAGTAACAGGTATTAGTTCTGTAAAACCATCACAAATTGTTGGAAATGAAATATGTTTTCTGAAATAGTTAAGGTCTAGCTCTTCATCATCACACAAATTATATTCATTTAATCCACAATGGCAATAACCATCTTCAATCAATGGCGGAGGAATACAAAGATCTATTGTGGAACATTTCAAATGGTTTTGCGATCCATACATCAAACAGGAACCATGAATCGAAGAACATTGTTCGTCATCTTTATAATCACAATCGTTTATACCGTCACAAAGGCGATGCTTGAAAATACATTTTGAGGATTTGAGACATCTGTACATAATTGAACTATTACAACTGGTAAAACCTCTATGAATGAGTGTATTGCATTGATAAAGCTGTTGATACAAAGGTAAGACATAGGTATTAATCCAGTCACCTCTAGTGAATCCAAACGCCTTAAAAGTTAATGGAAAATCTATGGGACGGCGACATGTATTATTATCGAATGACAATATCGTTCGGTTCGAATAAAATTCGCCACAAAGTTGATCATTATAGCAGACATACTGAGGTGGTGGAGTTCTCTGATAAGACCGTAACATACTTTCTTTTGTATATAAAAAGTACATATGGCCAAAAGCGACCGGACTAGCTGGCACATACAACATATCAGGACATGTCATGTTAATTATTTCTGTCCATGTTTTCTTGAAAAACCGCTTACGACATCTTAGATCTGATAATGAATCTTGAATAGCCAATTGACACTGAACAGCTAACCAACAGTCATTCGACACTGTATTTGACTTCTCAGAGAATAAGAACTGCTGTAGTAAAGAGGAGCGTTGGAACACACATGAACTTGTTAGCTTCAAATAGATATGGTTATGACGATTGGTACATGTAATATCTTCCATTGTAATTGTAGGCTCACCGCTAATATTCATAAAGAGTCTTTCATGAAAGAACTTTCTGTCTGATCGATCAAGACATTCAAAACCATTAGGGTCATCATGAAAAAATGTCTTAGATATGCATTGTCCATTTAGACATCGAACTTCATTATCTTCACATTCATTTATTTCAAATTGCCAACAAGATTCTTCATCGATTCCATTTCGACAATCAATGACTCCATCACATATTTCACTCCAATCAAGACATGCAAATATTGAACCGCGATCACATTGTAAGTGAGTGTAACATGTCAATGTTGTTGGTTCATATTTGTGTAGATAATATTCGCGAATAATCTCGTTTAAAGTTAAATGATGATACTTGTAAGCATCCAATGAATATTGACACAATGGACCGAATCTGGGTGACGTACAATTATAGAACATATAAGTTACCATTGATGATGATGACGTATTTGAAGTTAACAATAGATTTAAATAAAATTGATAATGTTCAACTACATCCATTGGTGCCGACCAAAGATATAATTGTTCACTAGTAATATTTAACTTGTAGAGCTCAACAAAAGTAAAGTTTTGATCTTGATTATTTTTTTGAAACTTCCATTTTGATGGCCATTCACTCATACAATAAGAAATGATCTGATAAGGATCATTTTCTTCTTCAATCCAAGCCGCAACATGAAGACAATCATGTTGTAGAACAATATTACTTTCATTATCATTTGTCCAGTCGGTGAGATCAAGATTAATTTGAGGAAACGCAATTATTCTATACAATAGAATGAAATAGAATAAGTTACTGATGAATGACCTCATCTGACTTTTTAGAGACTCAATATGAATGCAGTATTAAGAGTTCATTTTTATTCTCTCCATCTTTCTATTTTTTTCCAAAAAGCTAATTTACAATATTTTTTCCCTAACAAAGTACATAGTAAATATGAAATAAAGTAGTTTGTTCCTGCACTCTGAATCAGAGATTGCAAGGATGTTTTTTTTCTGTCAAACAATCATACAAAATCATGATTCACATCTGGCAGCATTCTGTCTGAAACTAAATTAGAGATATGAGTTCAACTCATTAGTGTAATGATGCATTTATATTTTTGATGTTGTTCTAGTTACAAGTACTTAGATAGATATTTTCAATAAGTCGTTAATGCTGTTCCAGTTGACTCTTCTCTGCAGAGTCTTTCGTGAGTCGCTTGAAGAATGCGAAACCATTGGGGAATCTCTGGAGAGTGTCACCATCGTTGTAGAGAATTGTGAGCTTAGTATTCTGTGAAATTTGTAGCTCGATCTAATTACTTTTTCCTATACAAACAAGAAAAATACTAACGGAATGTTCGATCATTTTTACTAATAATTTTTCAAAATTTTTTAACTGATTTTTAGTTGATTTTTTTCAGTAAAAGTGACGTTCAAATTTGAATTTTTGAGGTTTTTGACTTCCGATTTTGCTTACTGTAATTATTGAAGTATTGTCTTTTTGCAAACAAAAACTCAGAAGTTTTCTTCAATCATATAAGGACTTTAGAACTATCCTGAAAAAAGTCTGCTTTGCCCACTTTTCTGTGTTTCATTAACAAAATATCGGTAAACCACATTGCATGCCCTAACAATCAGTCACTTGCATATTTCTGCCGGTAGCAGAACACATTACGTTTTACCATCTAGAATATCTCCCAATTTAGGCCTTTGAGAAAAGTGAGAATAGTTGAATAGATTCTATATATACATGAGTGTCTATGATAAATATTCAGAAAGAGTGAACGTAAGGACTGATCGCCAAAACAAAACTCATGAACATAGATGGTCGAAAGGTATTCGGCAGTCTTTCTTTTCGACAGTGTTCGCTCCAGTGATCAGGTATATAACCGACCGAAATGATCAAAGACATTTTTGGTACATTCAAACTTTTGTGGTTTGAAAAATATTTATGATGTTTGTCTCTTTATTTTGACTTGCTATTTCATGCAAGAAATTGTAATTATCTTATTTTTATAGGAACAAATTAAGTAAACAACTGAAATTAGAATGAACCGTTTATGTAGAGTAATACAAGTGGATATGTTCGAAAAATCAGAAATATCGATCGACTTGGTTTGGCCTGCAGACATTCTGAGTCAGATCAGCTCAGAAAAATGCATCCTGTTAGCACGTTTGATTTGGAAGGATTGCAGGCAAAGAACATGCTTCAAAACAATGTTTTATATTCACAAATGTCGATTACTGCAGTTACAATTCTTAATCTTGCTAATATAAATAAAATTGTTCAACAGTTGGAATGTACAAAACTTTTTCATCTTAAAAAAAAAAAAAACAACTTCAATTCTTCTACAATTATTTTCTTCTATATGTTCACATTCGTGATCGTTCTGTGATTCATGAACTTTGTAAAAGAAAATAATAAAAAAAAAAGATATTTTACACGCACACACACACATACATAGTCGCTTGTAATATAGAACATAAACTCATGAAACATTAAACACGAAATAAAAAAATACATAAAACTACTGCAGAGCAAAAGGAAGAAATAAAGATGTATTTGTTGTTGTTGTTATCATTTTTTTTCTTGCTTAAAATCAATGATTATAGTTCAGTTACTGGAACAGTAGACTGTAGCCCAGATGATGATGATGCTGATGAATATGTTGTCATTGTTGATAATTTTCGATTTGGATCCGTATTATAATATCGGCAATGAATTGATGTTAAACTCTTACACCATGTAGTCGCATCTTGATCTGGATCAGTTAAATGATATGTTCGACCCGGCTGAAGATTAATATAAAGAATACAATTATTTTGTGAAACATGATTCAATACGAGTGTTGAACTATAGGAAGTAAAAATTTGGGACTTTTCTCTCCCACACACCATAAAAGTAGAGAGGGTGTGGGTTCAAATCTGAGTATGTTTTTTTTGTGACATCAATATCTGGCACTTTCGGTGTACATAAACAAGTCAAGGATTAAGATTTTAATTATTCATTGACTACTTTCAGAAAAAAGTCAACGTAAAGTTGTTTCTTGTTGATCACTTTTCTGTCAATCGATATTTAATAAATTAAAAGTTTTTGCTTTGTTAAAAAGAGAATTATATTAACTAAAAAGGAAATTGAACAGTTCATTGAAAATCGTCAAATCAGCACTAACATGAAAATATTCAACTGTATGAAATAGTTTTATGTTAGACATTTTAGCAATGATCCGCTTTCCGCGATAGAGACGTTGATATATGAGCAAAGAACTTATATTAATAACATTTCGTTATAATATATGAAATACTTTCTTATTGAATTTTTTAGACGATCATGTAAAAAGACATATGATTACTAAGAGCAACTATATCATGTTCTACATTTTCATCAAACAGAGATTGTGCTAAGAGCTTGTTTTTTTTGTTAGTATATGATATTTACCACATGAATAAGAAATGTTTTCATATCTTTCTGTTCAATACGTAAATCAGCTGTCCTAGATAATTCAAATGAAAAAAAGAAAACTTAAAATTGCAAAATAGAAATGTATTAATTCACATACCATGATATAGTTCCTTTTAATTCCATTGCATCAGGATCAACATAAAAAATAGCAGGACCTTCAGTAATAAGAAACATACGTCGTCTAGCAAATAAGCCCTTTAAGAATAAAAAAAAATCAAATTAAATTATTAACTAAAAAAGAAAAATGATATATTTACTTTTTTCTTATCTAAAATGCCTTGTTTAATAATTAGATTATTTTGAACAAATTTATGATAAATATTCTTTGATGCTTGTTCTGATAATGATAGAGTATGATCAGGTAATTGTAATCTAAATATATCAACTATTAGAATATATTGATGTAAAATAAAGTTTTGTTCGAATGAAATTATTTATCAATGAATTCATTAGAGAAAAAAAAATTGTTGAATAAATAACTTTTTTCATCGTATAAAAAAGAAATAATTACCTTCGTGCTGTAACAGGTGCATTAATATTATTATTAAAAGAACCATTTGAGGACGGAGAAGTGTATGAAGATGATCTAGTACTTTGATCCGACAATGAATTTGGATAATGTGTTTCTTGTAAAGATGATCGATCATTTGATAACGAAAGATTCAATGAACGAGTAATAATTGATGATAATTCATCTGGACCATCAGCAGCCATACGTAAACCAATTAAACGAGCTTCAACGCGGGCATCAAAACCTGATGACATTGTTTTAAGCTAAAATAATGAAGAATATAACAAAATAAGAAAAATATCTTAAATCATAAAATTAAACATATGAAAAAATTTCTTTTTTATAAATTATTTCAAGCATGATTTTTTTTTTTTATTCATGTTTGACTATAACCAACACAAAAACTCATTATATTGAAAGAACAATATCAAACTTTTATAAATACTATTTTGTCTATGTATTAAAAAAAAGAAAAAGATTGAATTTCTTTTGCATCAGTAATATATTTATCGAAGAAATAAACAGCGAAATATAATACTCACATACATAAAATGACTCAATATACACAGTTATTATTTCGTAGTAAGTTATTAGATAAGGAATATTTAATAGAAAAAAAAAATAATTACTATACATATATATATAAAAACAAATATGCATGGAATGATAGATGTATTATAAAAAATGTAAAACAATAATCAAAGAATTTAATGTATTATTATTATTCTATAAATATTTTAAAAACAAAAATGAATATTAATATTATCAATTTGTCTAAAAATAGACTTTATAAGAGTAAACATCTAATCAAATAATTGTATGATTTGCTGCTCTAGTCAAAAGTAGAAGAGGAACATGCTTTCTTTTTCTACAATATCAAACATGTAACTCGAATCCAAATAGTCATTTGTATAGTTAAAATAAAGTTCTCTATCAAATGCATATCTAGTCAAAATTTTACAGTTGTACTATGAAAGCAAAGGTTTCAGAAAGAACTAATACAATAGTTTTCAACTGCTAGAAGATTATGTGAAAAATAGTTTTTAAGTGTAGCACAATAAATAGCATAAAGTTCTGAATAAAAATAGGAGTATACACTTAAAAATTAATTCTCATATAATTTTCTAGGACTTGAAAACTATCGTGTTTGGCTTATCAGATATCATTCTTGCATATTAAACGTATAAAAATTCGATAGTACATGTATTTGATAGAGAATTTCATTGACTATTTAGACTACTACGTGAATTTGAGATAGATACTTGGTATCATAGAAAATAAAAATCAAATATACGTTAGTCTTATATTTTTGACTAGTACTTGATGATCTTTTTTTTATTTGTTCAGAACTTGCCTCTATTTAATAGTATATCCTAGATGATAATGAATAATGTAGATTTTTTAAACCAACTATTTATAAATAATCTTTCGTATTTATATTTGAATTGAAACGCATTGAAGAAAAATATTTATTAAATCGATAAATAACCTCATCTCACTACATCAAACAATGACTATTATGAAATTTACTCATTTACATTCTAACATTAGAATAAAAGGTCATCCTATTATGGAAGACCATAGGTTCGTTCAAACCTTTTTCCGGAAATCTAGCGAGTTTGAGCACCTAAAAAACACTGTTAAATTAAGTTTACTGAGTTTTCTACTTAAAAAGGTGCTTTACTTAGCAAAAAAAAAAGACTAATGCGAAACAAAAAGTCTTGACTTTTTAATTTGTAGTGGGATTTAAATGCTTTGTATTTTCTTATTTAAATATTTACTTCATCATCACTAAGTTGTGGTCTTGAACTAAGTTTAAGCTTTGCTTCAAGTGGTGATCGTTGATTTAATAAATGATCCCATTTCGTATCATAAGAAAATTCACTAAAGAATGGATGTTCTTTGAGTTTTTTCATACCACCGGTTTCTTCACTACCAAGTCGTTCGTGTGGTTCAAGACGCTATATTCAAAAGAAAAAAAATCTTCACATTGAATTATCATATAAAATAACATACAACAAGTTTTTGAACTAAATCACCAAGTAGTGTAGGAAAATCATCTGATAATTTATAAGAAACACGTACAACAGCATTGTATATATCATATTCATGACTAAACTAATCCAAATCGGTTTTTCTTTTTGTATAAAAAATACAAAATAAAACTTACTGGCCACGAAATAAATGTTTACCTGTAGCCATTTGATAAATAATACAACCTAATGACCACAAATCAGATCTAAATAGTAAGTCAAATAAAACATTGAATGAAATAGTTCGATTTTTTAACAAACCCAAAATGAATAGCACCACGTTTAAGTATTTCTGGTGCTACAAATTGAGCAGTACCAACAAATGAATTAGTTCGTTTTAATAGTTTTTTTTCTCCATCTACATTTTTACTATGATCTGATTGAGCTACAAAAACAAAATGATAGACAACATCTAATTAATATTTATTTTCTTTTAAATTTTATTTACATTCACTATTGTCAATAATTACACCTGAACCAAAATCAGTTAATTGAATATGCATATCATCAGTTAAAAGTATATTTTCTGGCTAGAAAGAAAGTTATTGTTTTTGTTTATAAAAAAAAATCAAAAACAAAAAGTAAAACTTAAATAATACTTTGAGATCACGATGAACGATATGTCGTTTTTGTAATTGTTCAAGTGCTTCAATAAGTTCTGCAGCATAAAATCGTACAGTTTCTTCATTAAGATGACCAGCATCTGTAATATATTGAAGAAGATCACCATTTGGACAATATGTAAGACCAAAATCTATGAAGAAATTTTCTAGATTAACTTAGAACATTAAAAAATTTAACTTCAAAATATAATTTATCTTGTTCATGTCTATATGAATCTTTAAGCCGAAGTTTATTAGAGTCTACATGAATTGTAATTAGAATGGTAACGTATGATTTTCAGTTTTCTACTGATAATATTGAAATTATTAGTAATTGTCTTCATTCATTTCTAATTAGTATAAATGATTAATTCGACCGGAATTTTTGCTGTGACAATCTTCTATGATAAAAAAGAGAATTCTAGATGTCTCTGACTCAGCAAAAAAAAAGAACTTTCTTTCGTTCTGTTTGAGAAAAAAAAAGAATCTGTTCTCAGTATATTAATGTACTTTGAGTTCTTTTTCTCGGTACATTATATTTTATAAATTCTCAACTAGGACAAAAATTAATTTATATGCAGACAGGATACTCGCTGATTAGATATATCTAAATAAAAGCTTTAAATAATTGTGTCGATGTTTCGAATAACATAATGTTAAATGACATGTTTATCTTGTATGAATATCATATTCAATTTTTTGAGATTTTTTTTTTATATAAAATAATGAACATGATATTTTTCATGAAATCAATTTCGTATTTAAATCAGTCAAATCATAGTATATTTCTTTTTTTTATTAAATAAATAATCTTAGTCGACTTCAAACAAAACTTAAAAAATTGCTTTCTTCTATTTATCTTTTATAATTCTTTAAATGATATATGTCATGTGCTATTATATCGTTTTTTTGTGAAGCATTGACAAGAGTACTCAAACTTCATCGAGACACATCCAATTAGAAAATTATTTTCTGTCTGCATATAAATTAATTTTCTGTCGAAGATCAGGACTTATGGAAACATCGTCTATATATAATAACCTTTCTTCTATAGAACATATAAAAATAAATAATTTAAATATGCTAATTTTTAATTATTTAGATTACTCTTAAACTATAAATATCTCTAGCATGACTTAATAAGACTTTGTTGAATTCATCATATTGATAATTTAACATATTGGTTTATTTTTTTTTCTTCAATATATTAACAGTCTATTACGTAGATAGTTGTTTAAAATTAATGAAAAAGCTTCTTTTTTTTTCTTTTATTAGTTTAACATAATGATACATATAGGTATAATATTCATATCAAAAAAAAAAACATATAAATGTATTTTGATTGATTTATTTTATCAAAATATGAAATACTTACAAAGAGTTTTGTCATCTTGAAATGTACAATAAAGTTTAACTGCATAATTACAATCAGTAAGTCGTGCTAAAATATCTTTTTCTCGAAAGACTTGAGAAATTTTTTTTAATCTTGTTACTAAATCTTTACTAACAGCTTTAACTAAAAGATAACAAATACATACGAAATTTAAATTATCAGAAAAAAAAAACAAACCAATTAATACATACTTGCTAATTCACGATTTGTTGCTGTATCAATAGCAAGAAAAACCTAAATAAATAAAAATATAAAAACTAAGTTTCGTTTTCTTTTGAAAAAAAAAACAGATCATTCCTACAGTTGAATATGATCCATTACCAATTTCTTTAATAAATTTAAAATCTTTGACTGTTTTTTTTGGCATTCGTAATGATGTTGCATTCGGTATTGTTGCCATTATTGTGTTGTTTCTCTTTTAATCAAAGCAAAAGAGAGAAAAAAAAAGAAAAAGGGAAACTCATCAACCATCACTATAAAACAAACATTATTTTTTCTTATTGGTCTTCAAAACAACCAATCAAAAAAGAAAAATTTGAGTATGTTTTTTTTCATATCGTACGCGATTTCATTATTATTTCGTACGTAAAAAAAAAATTATGTCATCTGAAAAATTAATAACAGTAGAAGAATTACAATCAAATCTTCTTAATGCTTATCATGAAGAATTTCCAAATGATGAACCAACTATATGTGCATTTGCACCTGGTCGAGTAAATTTAATTGGTGAACATTCTGATTATAATAATGGTTTTGTTTTTCCAATGGCTATATCAGTTGGTACAATGATTATGGGAAAAGCATTAGATGATCAAGAAAATAAGAAATGCTATTTTCGTACATTAGCTCGTAAATATAATGAATAAACTTTTTATTATTTTTGTTTTTTTTTTTTCTAATTCAAATTTTTCATTTAAGAGGATCTCAAAGAATCTAAATCATTTGAATTGGATTTAATGGAACCAATAACACGATTAGAATCACCTAAATGGGGAAATTATGTTGTTGGTGTTCTTGCTTTATTTTTAGAACGTATTAAAGCAAATAAAAAAAAACCATTCCGTGCACTTATATCAACATCAGTACCTATTGGTGGTGGTCTTAGTTCATCAGCATCAATTGAAGTAGCAATGTGTACATTTCTTGAAATACTTTATCAAGATGAATATGCACATGATTTACAATTAACGAATATTGAAAAAGCTTTATTATGTTGTAAAGCTGAACAAACATATGCAAATGTACCATGTGGAATTATGGATCAATATACATCATGTTTAGCTAAAGCTGATAATGCTATATTAATTGATTGTCAAAATAATACTTCAAGATATGTTTTATTTAATGATAAAAGTTTATGTATATTAGTAACGAATTCAAATGTCAAACATGAATTAGTTTCAGGAAAATTTGCTGAAAATGTTGGACATTGCCAATATGCTGCTAAAATTTTAGGTAAAATTTTTATATTTTTATATGAAATTTAAAAAAAAAATTAGAATAGAGTTGATAGCTAAAATTAAGCTTTTCTTTTCGTACGAAAAAAAAGTATCACATTTCCAATACTATTATTTCATACTTAGAGTTGACCAGAAGTTCTAGCAACATGAAACAAAAATAAAGAGATCTTTGTAACTATCTTGAAAACCTCGTGAGTCAATGTATATTCATTTGTTTGATCAGTTAAATTACGTTTGATATAATCATTTTGCCAAAATTTTGCATGATGAAAAGTTTGAGACAAACAGTGGATCTAGCATTATATTAATACTTTCTTGCGTTAAATAATTGATCACATCAGAATGAGTATTGAATCGAGCAGTGTCATGAAGTAATTGTATACTTTTTGTACTCAATGACTTCCTTTGCTTCCATAGTTCATTAATAACAGGCTTGAAACAATTTTCAGCATAATAGTTGGAATTTATAGTATTGCTTTTATTTATACTATCTATTGGAACAAGACTCTTTGATCTTTACTAGACGAGCTAGAGTTAGTTGAATTTTGTCTAACCTGTCATCTATGGTGAAATTTCACCAAATTTTCACGACAGGTTCTAACTATATAGTTCTCGCTTTTATTCATCATGGACATTTTTTCATATCTCATGGAAGCGTTTTGCCTACCTTGCAACTGTTCGATATGATGGAGGGCTAGATTCTAATACTGTTGTGAGTTGTTTATGAATTGTCTTTCAATTTATTTATTCATACAACAAACTTCACTATTAACTGATTTATAAAATTGCTAGCACCGCTGCAAGAACATTTCGTCAAATCTAAGTAATAATAGTATTATCAAAGGTTGAGCTACATTTTTACAATAGTAGATCATCTTCTTTTATTGTCAAAGTTATCAAAACTAAGCCTTTTTTTTTTATTGAATCTAAACAAAAAGTTGCTCAATGTGTCACCATAATGCTTCAGTGATAATTGTATGCGCGAATAAACTTCCAAATGATAAATTTTACTATCATAAAGTATTCTATCTTAATTTAAAATATAAATGAGTAGTTCTAATAACAGAAGTTCTTTGAAATGAGTATATTACCAGAAAAACAACAAGTAGTTACTAATGTAGAATTGATTGCATATTTGGCAGAAGTTTACTTTCTACTTTACATCCCACAAACCTCGATTTGAAGACATATGATTCCATCACATACAGCACTGCGCAAAAATAAATGTTGATATTTGAAGTTATTGAAATACTACGATAACTACAGTTAAACTTTCCTTAGATGGGCACTGTCGGGACTTTTTTAAATCGCCCACTTAATGGAGGTGCCCTTGTTATAGAGGTTTTTACAGATATTGGTCACAAACACTAATCATACATATATATTACCAATCTATCCTTAGACCATCGATTGTATCAGGATTTCACTCTCCTTATTTAATGTCTTTTCTTCAACTAAGTTTATTTTCTTATTTACAATCAAGTTTTTCGAAAAAAATCCGTAATTGAGCTTTGCTTGTTGGTTTTTGAATCAATGTAAAATTATCGTTGACCAATTCGATCTTCTTGTCAAGTGTAAGATAATGATGCGACGTCATTTCTCAATGATTTTATTCAGCAATGTCAAATAACATGACTATTTATACTTTTTTATCACTGAATGCACAATCAAATGTATAGACGAGTTATTTTGTTGGTGTCGTCAGACGAGACTATTCTCCATGTCATTCGCAGGACAACAAAGAACAACAAGAAAAAAAGCACACTGAAGTGACTCATATGATGACTATATGTGCCCATATAAAAGGGGTTCGTCTATACAGTACGGCCTAAAATTAGTGCCCACTGCTCAGAAGTGGGAGGTGCCCTTGTTATAGAGGTTCATTTCCAGCAAAAATCGACCGGTCGTTCCGCCGGGTGCCCATATAGACGAGGTGCCCACATAGAGAAGTTTTGCTGTATATTCATCGTCGAATAATACTCTCATTTATCGTTCGAACAATTATCATCAGATACGTTTCATAGAGCTTGCTGTAGTGTAAGTTTCAGTTCTTTGTTACAATAAATTATTAAGTTATAACAATCCAAAAGTTAAAAATGATTCCTTTTTTTTTTGTTCAGGTCATAATACTTTACGTGATGTTGCATCAATTGATGAACTCGAACAAGCACATGATAAAATGTCACCAATTACATATCGCCGTGCGCATCATGTTATAACTGAAATTCAACGTACACAAGCTGGTGCACAAGCTTTAGAAAATGAAGATTATAATGAATTTGGTCGTCTGATGTATGAAAGTCATGAATCATTACGTACATATTTTGAGGTATCCTGTGCTGAATTAGATCAACTTGTTGACTTAGCACGTTCAGTTGATGGTGTTTTTGGTTCTCGAATGACTGGTGCTGGTTTTGGTAAAGATTTTTTGTACTAATTATTATTATTATTTTTTAATTTGTTCATTTTAGGTGGTTGTACAGTAACATTAGTCAAAAAATCATCTGTTGAAAAATGTATGGAAACAATTAAGAACAATTACAAAGGTAAAGCAAGTTTTTATCAATTTGAACCAAGTGATGGCGCTCGTTCCATTGATATAAAAAAGCCGAATGATAAATAAGTATTTTTATTGCTATATGTACTTTTTTTTTTTTTTTTTTATGATCTATTTTATATCAGTCTTCTATATAAATCTCGCGGATATTATTTTTAAATTAATATTCCAGCAATGTAATAAAATTGTTTGTTGATTTTGTTTTAGATTTAAAAAAAAATTATGATTGAAGACACATCAAAAACACCTCCATTAGTATCAAGTTCAACTCCAACACCAACTCGTTCAAATCCAATAAAAGATATTGATGTTTTTCGTAAACCATTACCACCAGCACCATTAGGACAACAACCACCATCATCTCGTCGTCAAAAACGTAAAATACTTGAGGAAGAAAAATTTGTTCAAGATTTAGGACATATTATTGAACGTGATTTCTTTCCTGATATTAAACGTTTACGAGCAAAAGAAAAATATTTAACTGCATTAGAAAAAAATGATGTGGTAACACTAAGAGATCTCTATGCTAAATATAGTATACATCGTGGTCCAACTCCGTCACCATCTATGATGGGTCATAGAGGTAAGATATAATTTAATTGTAACATTTTGTAAGACATGGTATAAAAGAAGTTTCAAAGTACAGAAATAGCAGTTCGAACTCCTAGAATTCTTCAGATTGGGTTCAGGTGCAAAAGTTTTGCATCCGACAGGTTCTATTGCCTCCTCCTTCCTCGAACAGGTTCAAATGTTGTTAATAAAAATAGTTGACGTTTATATTGCTGGAGAGGATGATGCAGAAATGTATGGCAAACTACGTAGAATGAAGCAATCTCGTGTGATTAGCAACAGTAGTTACATCATGTTTTCCAATATAATTCCGCAGAGATTGTGCTAAGAAACTTCTATTTTTAATTAATTAATTTATCTTTAGATACTCCGTCAAGTTCATTCGAAACACCGATTGATAGAGGACGTGATACACCGAAAACAATAAAAGATGACAAAGTTGAACATGATGAATTATTATCAAAACGTTCTGATATTGATGAAGATGATGAAGATTTTGATAAACAATCAGTATCATCTAAATCAAATACTCGAAGTAAATATTTTTGATTTAAATAAATTTTTGTTAATATTCTAAGAAAAAAAAATTTTGTTTTTATAGAAAAAGTACGTGATCTTCGACTTGATCAATATTTATCAATAAATACAAGTGAAGATAATATTTCATTTGAACAAATTATGGAAGAAACTCAAAAAAAAGAACGTACAAAAGTTCATCAAGCTTGGCTTTATGAACAACAAGCATTGACACATTCGGTAAGATTTTTTTGTTTCTATAGTGATCAACATGTGTAGTAATCTTTGAATATTTATAAGAAAATGATCTTAACACTTTTCGAAATTATAACTCAATGTTTAAGGAAATGCCAAATTAATATTTTAACTAAAATTAAGTTACTGAATATTTATGTAAATGAGCTATGGATACTCAAAAAAAAAAATTTCAGTGCTTTTGATGATATTCTTTGAATACATTTTCGTAATATTCCTTGATATGATTAGAAAAACTGATTTTCGATTTGAAACTTTCCATAGACAGAAGTTTTAACAAGAATAGTTTATTGCGAAAGTATTAGGTCTTTTCATTGTTCCTTGAAGAATCTGACAACATTTTATTAAATCATCAAAAATGCAGTATCTTAGGATTAGTAAACCATGACCACGAAATCTTTTTAGACTATATATAATTCGTTCGAATTTACATGACATATATCTTACTGATTCACAAGTTTTTAATCAATTTAGAGACTTCCATCGTTAGATAGAACTTAAATATTTCAGTCAATTTTCTCATACGTGTTTCCTTTTGTTTTTGAATAAAATATTCAAAATTAATCTGACTAAATTCTTTTATCAAATCATAGAGTACTACAAATGAACCAGTTCATGAATTACCAATTCCATCAATTGAAGATCAAGCCAAAATGAATAATCCCGATTCATCACAATTTTGGCCTTATACTGTTAAAAATGCTGTTATGTATTTTCCTGAAGGTAATAATAATCATTTGTTTGTTTTTAAAGAGTCAAAGAAATCTGACAAAATTATTTTTCTTAAGGTGCAAAATTAACTGCAGCTGAAAAAATTGAACAAGCTAAACATGTTCGTTCTATACATCATAACAATACTCGTTTTGAAGCCGATTCAATGTCAGTAAATACAACAGCAACAAATTCTTTAAGTCATCTGGCAACACCAGCTCGACCAAATGCATTAATTCGACCACAAATTGATATTGATGGTCGAGAAATAAAACGTTTACAAAGTCCACAAGTTAGTGGTTATGGTTTTGTTGTAACACCATCACCAATGCCTGGTGCACATGGTGATGAATCACCAATGATGACATGGGGTCAAATTGAAGGTACACCATTTTGTTTGGATGCTGGTAATGAAACACCACGTGCAACAAATAGTGGTCCACAATTTAAAATTATTGAAGCTCCACTCCGTGAACAATTAGCATTAGAATTAGTTGAAAAAAATGCAGCACAACATCGTAAAAAAAAAGTTGAAGCTATGAAAACAATTAATAAAAATTTTTCATCAACAAATAATACAAAACAAACAAAAGAATTACTTCTATCAACTATGAGTCCAGCTGCACAACGTTTATTGACAAATCGTCTTGGTATACAACGTACACAATCAACAAATACACAACGAGAAAATGTATTAACACCATCACCAGTTGTACGCACAAGCGATCGAACACCAAGAGCACCATTAAATATTGGAATTATTAAACATACACCGAGCACACCAAGTACAACAGCAACAACAACAGCAACAACAGCAGCAGCAGCAGCAACTAGTAGTAGTTTGACTGATAATCTTCTCAATTTAAAACGATAGTGAAGATTAAACTTTTTCTTTTGTTTTTCTTTTTTTAAATGTATATATAATCATGATGATTAAAAGAAAATCCTTTGATATATCATGCTCACATTGCGATATTTACTTAATAGAATAAAAATAATCGATCCTTTTGCAAGATGCATGTATATTATACGAATCATTCTATTTGTCACATTCTTCTAATGATGTTGAGTATGATAAAGACATGTACAATTAAAATTACAATATAACATATGATCATGTCAAAAATAATTGGAATTTTTTTTTCTCGATTATCTTACTGATTCCGTCATTAATCTTTCTCTTTGTTCATTTCAACAGCAATAATACATAACTTTACATTTACTAGATTGTTTCACTTTAGATACTTTAATTTTTTTTAAAACTATAATTTAGTAATTGAATGATGATAATAGGTCAAATAATCATATGAAATTGTGTAGGCTTCATAAGATTACTGTCAGTTATTGTACGTTGCTACATATAGATGATGACATGTAATTATTCATTCGTTCATTCATTCATTCTATCCACTTCAGACAGTATGGCACTTGAACATGTGCGCGTGCGTTCTTCTTTTTCTTTGATCTAAATATAAGAGTGCGCCGTACACTAAGTGAATGAACAATCATTTGAATGAAAACATAATAAATGATCGGGATGTATTCTTCATATTCCATCAGACACGATTATTATGTAAGTCTTCGTCAATCATAGGTAAAACTTTGAATCGTTGCTTATATATCATTTTCTTATTCATGTTTGCTTCTCACCATCACACATTCATACATATATATACAATACTTACGTAGAAGCAAACGAGAGAGAGAGAGAGAGAGAAAGAGAGAGCGAAAGAAGGGGAGGAGAGAATTTTCTTTCTTCTTGTATAGTATGTATGTATGTATGTGCCTTTATCTGCACAAAAGAAGCAGGAGAGAAGAGTTTTGAATTACACATACTTCAACTATATACAACGTTCATCAACATTTGTTTGCATACACATATAAACTCTTTGCCTGTTCTTATCACAGTTATTCATATTTCTTTTCGAAGTCGAACTGACGGCTAAGTAGACACAAGAAAAAAACAGAAGAAAAAAAACACGATTGTGGAACCGAAAAACGGAGTTTAGTGTTCGACATCATGAGTTGTTTGTTATTTTTCAATTTTATTCTATTACTTTTTGCTATTACATTTCTCATATTGGGTATAACAACATCAAGATGGCTTGTTCTTATTGATAATAATACAAATCATATAACTAGTGAAAATTCAAATGGTATTGTATCATCTTGTCAACGACTTTATCGTCAGGGTAATACAGATAAATATTTAACTGTAAACAATGCAACAAATATTAATGATATAAATATATATGATGATGCTTATGTATGTTTTAATCGATTACTCAAATGGCATAATGCATCTATAGTTGGACCTGAACTGTTGGGTAAGTTGAAACATTCTATTAATAGTATTCGATTATGAATAAAAATAATTGTCAAAAAAGAAAAATTCACTTTTGAAGTTTTATCGAACCGTTCTTATATAAAATTCAAATTTTGACCTTCATAGAAGTTAATTCAAAGAACTTTCTTGAAATCGATAATTATAAGAAAGCATTCATTCGTGTATATATTGATCATTCATTTGAAAATATCAAATCAAACTTGCGAACATACTCCATTTCTGAATAATAAAGAGAAAGAAAAAAATTGTAATCAACTTTATTTTATGAAGTTAAATCTAAATTTAAAGTATAACTTGATATAGATTACACACATATTTAAATCAGCGATAGAAATATGAAATCAATAGCACTAGATCTAATCGATTTCTTTAATCGATATTTAATTGCATACTCTATATTTGTAAATATAGGACAACGTGACAAAGATAAGACGATTGTAAAAGCTATTAAATATTTATCAGCAACAAATCCAAGACATCGATAAACGAATAGTCACAGACGCATAATCGGATGGCACATATGAATATACAATGTGTCGCATATATCATACTTTACGACACATTAACATACAAGAAGAAGTGTTCATTGTGAGACATGCGACACATTTCGTAAATGTAGTTCGACTTTAATCAAAGGCATATCTTTTATTTTTTTCTGAAAGAAAAACGAATAATTACTAATTCTTTTATGTAATACAAACAAGTAATATGTATTCTCGAAGTCTTGAGATCTAACTGTTTCGAGTAGGAAGCTATAGGTTCACGTTTTTGTAGGTTCCGACTCGAGTTTGTTTTTATCAATATCTAGTCCTATCTGTGCACATGAACAAATGAAGGCTCAAGGTTTTAGTTATTTTTTGGCTATTTTTCGGAGATCAACATACAGTTACTTCTTGTTATTTACCTTTATTCTCATCTAGGAAGGTTCGGATTCATGAAAACGCTGACTTGAGCATGAGTTTTGAAGAATTTATAGTCTTATGTCGACCTAATTTCGATGACATCATGTTCTCAAATAATACTTAGCTAAAAATAAAAGCATATGCAAAAATCTGTATTCTTATTTTGTATGTATATTGAATTTTTCTCTTTTTTGTTTTTTTTTTCTAAAACAAAACAAAACAATGGACAGACTATCAAAAAATATTGATCGGTATGTCATTTGGTTGTGTATTTGCTGCTATCATTGCTCTACTTCTTACTCAATTAATTAATACAAATGCATCGTTTAACAATTTTCGTTTTTCTAAACGTATGGTTGAATGTTTATTAATTGCCGACATTCTTACTGGTACGTAGATTCTTTTGTATTGTTGTTTTTGTTTTTTTTTTTTCATCCTTTTTATATTTAAAGTCGTATTGGCATTGATTACATTAGCATTATTTCTTGGTTTTGAACGTCTTCAAACATTAACCGCGTATGGTTTCTCATTTTGGTCATTTGTAGCCGGTACATGTTGTATATTTATTAGTTGTATTCTTACAGCAGTTTATCGTATTGATGTGGAATTTGAATTTCGTCGTTATCGACATGAATCAGTCGCAACACTTTGCTAAAAATGAATCTTAAATTGTACTGTTTTATGATATTTATCAGACATTGTTTTTTTTTTTTAATAATGTGTAAAAGTAGAGATGTCAGTTTCTTTCTTTTTTGTTTTTATCAAAAGAAAAAAATATACTTGGAAATATGTGATCTTGTAGATTTTATTTTTATCTTTGTTGACATAAAAGGTATGCTATGTTTGACATTGGTTACCATAACACGTGGTTGTGTGTTTTTGTTTTTAAAAACAAGAACAGAAAAGAAAAAAAGGAATCGATGGTTATGTTGTCTGCATACATCTTGATAAAAAAGAAAAAGAAATCAGATGACGACTTTTACTTTAGTCATGAGCAACAAGTTGGAAAATTAAATTTCCTATTTAAAGATACTTTCTTTTTTCGAAAATAGTTAGTTTCTTTTTTGTTTTGTTAAAAGATACTTTTTTTATAAATATGTCTGGCATGTAAGTATTAACTCTATGAGATATAGAAAGCATTTAGTATTTATTTATTTAGTAATATTGAAAAAATTAATGAAGATTGTATTCGTTTTTCATTTACTAATGGTTCATTGGAGGTAATCATTCGATGTGGTGACTTAAGTGAAGAAGCATGTGATGCTATTGTTAATTCTACAAATACACTTTTGATTCCCGATGGAGGATTGGATGCTCGTATACATCAAAAGATGGGTCAATTTTTTACAGATCAAGTCGTTGCTATTCATAAAGATATGCAAGCAAATTCATGTCCTGTTGGACAATCACGTATTTTTATTGGAAAATTTAATCGTGAACAAAACGATGCACGTTTTGTTATAAGTACTGTAGGTCCAATTTATACAGAAACAGAGAAAGAACGTGCTGGCTTTTTATTACAATCATGCTATTATACATCATTGGCACTTGCTAATATTTATCAACTTACTTCGATTGCATACCCAGCAATATCATGTGGAGCAAATCATTTTCCTCTAGATGAAGCAGCTCGTGTGGCTATTGATTCAATAAGACGATTTTCATATAATGTAAAAGATGTTCGATTTGTTTTATATGAACGTTCTACATATGATGTTTTCGTTCAAGAATGGACTGATTATGCACAACAAATAAATCAAGGCGCAAATAAGACTGATGAAACTAGCGAAGATAAAAGTGAAGAACCGAAAAAATCTAAAATACCACCACCCGTACCACCAAAACCATCAGCTCGTACTTGTGTTCTTTGTAAACAACAAAAATTACCTGCTGATCGAGAAAATTTATGTCTTGATTGTTCACAATTGGCACGTCCACATGTATTTAAACTTTTTTTATCAAATTTACGTGTAGCTAGTGAAAAATCATATGCTGAACTTGTACAAGAATGTCAATTATTAAAACCAGTTTTAAAATTATATTCACTGATTTATACTCCAGCTAAGGTATTTGATCCAGCTATTCATGTACGTGATCCTGTTGCTGAACATTATATACATCAATATTGTGATAAAAATTTTCGTAATTCTATACCATTATCAATTGCCGGTGATGGAAATTGTTTTTATAATACATTTGTTAAATTAGGAGGAATAGGTTCAACTACTGATGGATCTATTTTAACATCAATTGAACTTCGAGCAAGAAATGTTGTTGAGCTTGTTCTTAACATAGATGTATATAGGTCTCAGTATGATAGTATATCACCTATTCTTGATGAATTTGAAAATTATGTTAGCAAAGAAATGGTACGTGATACAAATTATGCAGCTGTTTGGGATCTACTCAGTATACCAACTGTATTGAATATTCATTTAATTTGTGCTTATCCGAAAGTCAATGGTTTAGAAGATTTAAATTATCAATATCTCAATAATGCTCAATTTGTGCCATTGAGAGAAGATCACGCTGATAATAATCAAGAGAAGAAATCAGAAAAATCATTGATAGTAAAAGAAATTAAACTACTTTTTTCTCATTGTAGTAGACCCAGTGTTGGATACTCAAAAGAAAAAAAAGAATGGCTACCTAATCATTTTGTACCTCTTCTTAACATGCATTAAAGCATGTTATTTATTAAAATACCTTGTTTTTTTACTCTGGAATAAATGAAGACTTTATTTTTTTTTATTTTATATGAAAAAGAAAAAAATAATAAAATAGATATAGTTGACAAAAAAATGAAATATCTTAAATGATCCATCTCGATGAATTCTAGTTAAAAAAATTCATTTCTTTTCTGTTTCTATTTTCTTTGAGAGAGTTATATGAAGGATTTTTGACAGGTATGATCTAATAATTATCAATTTCTACATAATTTCTAATCTAATTTTCATGCAATTGCTCATAAGTCATCAAAATATTCTTGATAAACTTTAGAACAGTTCTAACAAATCTATATGTTAAATTAAATTTAAAAATGCCATATTTGAACAAATTAATTCGATTGTATCGATTTTGTTATACAGAACAAAATATTTTCGAACCATATTTGTTAGCACTTGAACGTTGTTGATACTTTTCAGTAAGAATCAAATTTGATTTACTAATTCATCAATATTTTTTTCTACAAATCTATTTGATATCAATGGTCGTTGGAAGTATTCTTTACAGTAAAACCTCTCTAATGCAAGCACAATCGCAATTGACCAAAAGTACTTATTATTGGCAGGCTTTTGGTTTTCTTTTTCTTTTCAAACTATTTTTAATCACAGATAAATTCATACATGTTGACATTATTCGATTTTACTAGCTGTTAACACCAAACCAATAAGATGTTATACCAAACACTGTTGTTGTCTAGTATTGTTCTTGTTTTTCTTTCAAATATCCACGACTAATCGATATCCTGTCTCATGATTGTTTATCATAACACAATGCACTAAACATCATTTTTTTTTCTCGTTCAACATTTGAATGATAGAACATGTGTTGCTCATGAAACTAGAAATAAGTGCCCACTGTTCAGGACAAGAAGGTACTCGTAGAAAGAGGTTGTTTTTATGTAATTCCTTTCCTTTCAAAACAAATTTGAATGGTCAAATAACTATGTTTTCAATTCAATTTTCTCTTCATTTGTTTCATCAAATCGTCCTATCATGTTTTAGTACGAAAAATTAATGACTTAGTGCCCGATGTGATCGCCGTAACTTATGATTATCACAGTCACGAGTATTGAGACAGTCACACATTCTTCGCATGTTTTGATTGGATTAGTTTTTCTACAATACAGACCATTGTATATTCTTAGTTAAACGAAAACACATGTAAATGTTACTATATAATTAAACCGAATCTAATTAAGTAAGAGCAATTGTCTCCTCTGTTAATAATCTCATCATTTTTATTTGTTTTTGATTTTATCGAACTTTCATCACAACATCATTGAAGGAAATAAATCGCCACGTGTAATAAACTGGAAAGAATGACTGTGACCGAAAAACTTGATCACGTCGGACACTGGTGATGACTTGATTAGCATGCACGATTTCTTTTAGTTAAAAGTATCATAAAATGACTCCAACAATTAATCCTACAGATTTAATTTCTTTTCCTTCAGTAACGGTAATTAGCATAAAGAATCCAAATAATATCTTGCATGAAGAAAAATAGTTTCCAACAAAGATTTGAGGCAAATAAAATCTTCACAGCATTGTCCGAACTCAAGATCTCTAGAAAACCAAAAGTCTGGTTTTTTTTTTAGCATATAGAAATCGAAAATAAAAGTGTCTCCTGATTAGACACAGCAACTGATTTTCTACAAAATAAGACATGTTAGAGCTCTGCACTACATTTTTTGACAAAACCATACTAATGTTAAGAAACATCTAAATATGGACTTTTCATCATTTCCTAAGAAAAATTAGACACATAGAACTTTTAGGCTTCTCTTAAAGCTCACATTATCCTGTCTATCTATGTTGATGACAAAACAATTTTGAAGATTGATTACTTCGTCTTATAACTCAATTCCAATATGAACCTTATAAAAGAAAAGTTCACAAACAGCATCATGCAAGTGAACTATATTATCAACGTTACCTATTCATCATCGGGTATATATATACACTGCATAAAAGAACATTTATTTCTCTTATTAATTAATGATAATTTTATCATTATTTTTATATATTCATTTAAAAAAAGACAGAAGATGAAAATATTGTACAGATAAATGAAAATTCGTGCACATTTATTTATGTAATATTTCGTATAGTATAGCAAGAAAGAGACAGAGAGAAAGAAAGAAGCAGAAAAGAAAAACAACACCGGGCTATAATTGGGATATACAAATACAAAACAAGAACAACAAACAATAACAACAACAATTATAAGGCATATACTGTTTTGTTTATATTTATATATATATATATTTAGTGACTATACTTCAGTTTGAAAAAAAGATGATAATTTAGTTGATTTCTTTCCGTTCATATGTTCTTTAGTTAAATCAGAATCACTTGCATGTCTAAAACGATTTATCGTTGTTGTCATTGTTAATTGACTTGTTTCATTATTATTCGTATTATTATTATTATTAGTATCATCATCATCATCATCTGTATGTCGACTATTACGTCTTGCTTTTAAACTATCTAATTTTCTTGGATTTAATTTCCATGATGTTGTATTGATTTTATTATGTTTTATTGATGATGATGATGATGTTTGAAAACTATTATTGTCATTATTTGTATTTGATTTTAAAAATGATGTTGTACGTGTATATGTTGGTGATGATGAAAGAAGACGAAGTGGTGAACCACTTAAACGAAGACGTTCAATTGTACTCATACCACTACTATTTGTTGGTTTTGATGATGCTAAAAGAAGCAAAAAAAATAGTAACGTGAATTTATTCATTTGAAATGAATTTAACTTACTTTTAATAATTTTAGCATAAACAGGTGCTTTTTGTAATGATGAGGTTGATGCACGTATACTATGTGTACTACCACCATTAAATAATGAACGTTTACGTTCACTATTTATTATTGGTGATGTTAGTAATGTTTGTTCATTATTTGATGAATCATTGGATGATTGTGTTAAATCAATATCATTTTGTTCAGCTAATTTTTCAGTTAAATTAGACAATGAATTTAAACCCGTTTGATAAGTATTAGGATTTTCATCATTATGACCATTGAAATATTCTATTAGAATATTAGAGAAAAAAAAAATTAGATACAAATACAATCCTAGACAAAAGTTACTGTCCCACATGAAGTAGTTTTATTCGTTATGATATTGAGTTTGATATTTTAGGTGCATGCCTGCGAAAGTAACCCTGATTGCAAGCACTAGTCCAACCTCCATCGATTGCCACATCTTTCCCTTGTAAAAAAGGCACGTTTAGTGGGAATATGTACTCAAAACGTATTTGATTGTCATATTGCTATTCCACAAGGTACTATTATTTTCTTTTCTAGTACTAAAGGCATTCCCATGTCTCATCTTGATTATCACGAAAGGCCGTGATGTGTAGACAAGGTCTTAGTATTAGGCATGCTCTGAGATATCATATGAACTTTCTCAAACAAAGTTTCGAATGCATTGATAATAGTTATTCTGGAAAAGATTCATCTTACTAAAAATTAACATTTACTTTTTAACGGACATGCTAAATCAGAAGATAACATCTCAATTATATCAAAGTGATTTTTTGACAAAAGTCGAACTTGAGATAATAATTACGACAGTCAAGTAAAGAGTTTAATGAAAATATTTGTGCTAATACAGTTGAGATCAGATGATGTCTAAACCATAACTTCACTGCATGAGAACCAATACAAGGCTGATTAGTGTTTACGGATCATAGTTTATTGTCATACAAATTCACCCAAAATATCAGCACTATATCATGAAGAGTAGCAGCACTTCATTGAGACAGTTATTTAAGGTGTTTTTGTTGTATTTCAATTATCTTCATTTATCTCAATATAGATTTATTGATCTCAAATTCAATTAACATTTCCAAATATGAAAGATAGTTTTAGACATTGTTCTTAACTTTTCAATTGAATGTCATTCTATTGTATATTTTCTTTAATTATTCACAATTTAATGGAATTATATTCTCTAAAGATCAATAAAGAATATTACTATAGAGTCCAATTGACTCATAGTAAAATCAACCAACAAAAAAATAATAAAACGAATAAAGCCAATCGAGACAATAGTGTTAATTACTATATCTATGAAAGGATAAGAAACAATAAAACTTACTTGTTGGTGATGCTGGAACTTAAAAAAAACAATAACGAAAAAAAAGATATAAATTTATTTTACACTGAGAAAAATACTTACAATCAAATAAATCTGTTGCTTGTGGATCAACTAGTGGCATACGTGTAGTATCTATAAAATAAAAAGAAAAAAAAATGTAATTCTAATAAATAAGAAAAATTTCATAATCACAAACCATAATCAATACTATTATAATGAATAAGAAAATTATCTGGTGGAATATTCATTCTTCCAATTGTTGAATAATATTTCGGATCACTCTAGATTAAAACATAATATTTAATCTTTATTGTAAGTTGCTTTTTAACTTACCTGACGACGACTTAATGACTCATGAGATTGATATTGATGTTTATCAATTGATTGTGATGATTTATTTAAATGATTATTAACTGCCTGAAAAAATAAGAATAATAATTATTGAAAGAATTTAAATTTTGATAGACTTAAACTTTATTAAATTCGAAATGAAAGAAAACGAATATAGAGAATTTATACATAGTTCAATACAAAACAAAAAAATTATTTTTCGTTTTTCAAATATGAGATCGGTTCATTTTTGTTTTCAAGCCGAATCGATCCTAGCTATGATTTATTTTCGTGGAACTAACAAGAATATCATTGATTGAAACCATCAAAGTCAAAACTTAGTATAGATAATGATTATCTTTTTGTTTTGCGTTTTTTATTTAATATGATTTCTAAGAAATTTATTACCGTGTATATGAGAGCGAGAGAAAAATAAAACATGCTATATTCTTCGAAATTCAAAAAAAAATAAAACTTTTTATATACTTTATCATTAAAATTATTC